CAGTGAGCGGGAACCGGTCTGTATGTGGGATCCGAACCCTCCGCAGGAGCGCCGCCGCGCTTCCCAAGCCGCACACTGTAGCAGTGCGCCACCGGGCCGGCCCTGAACTACGACTTTTAAAAGGATCTTAAATTAGCTTTCAAATTATTCTACGTACCTTGTATTAGCTCATAAATATTCATGTCCATAAGTTCACATATTAGTGCAAGAGAACCAGATTTTCTGTCACTGAAGAAAAAAGCAAGTTTTTAAAATGTTTTTTCTTGTCTTAATCAGAAAATATAATCAGATATTTAATTCATTTGTAAACACTTCTGGTAAACATAAGGCACTCCCACATCAAAGACTGCAGCATAAGACTGCAATGTAACTATTGAAACAGTACAGGTTTTGATTTTAAATCAATATTTCAGATAAAGTTAATTTAAAATACTAGTATGCTATTTAAACAAAATTCTAAAAGCCCTTTTAAAAAAAAGGAGAGAGAGATGCCTTGAAAATACCAAACTAACTATCAGTAGAAAGAAGAAAAGAGGTTGGGGAATTGGCAAAGCAAAACAATAAAAGAAAAAATAATTAAATTCATGCTCTGAGATTGCAGATTTAGTTTTAAGTTACCTAACTTATTTCCATGTAATTGGGATAAATTGTAATGGGAGAGCAAAAACCAAAAACCAGTCAGGAGAAAAAGAGAGATAGCCAAGTCACAGCACACCCACATGTTATCCAGGCCTGACACTGAGTGGTGACAGCGGCCTCTGGCTGAGCCACCAGCCTCTCCTGATTTTAATCAGACCCTTGAAAGGTTTCCCTGAGCCCTGAGCAGGGAAGCCCATGTCATCTAAGCCCCTGCTCTGGGTGCTTTCCATCCAGCTGGAAGGACAAACCCTGCCTCTCAGGGCTGTTCTGAGGCCCATGTGAGCATCTGGACAGAAGTGCTTTGTGAAGTCGTGTAAAGCACTATTTATAGTCATGCAAACTGTAGTCTCTGGACCTGGCCCAAACTGCCTTCTAAGAACGCTGCAGGCCGGGAGGCCACACAGCTATGACAAGACATTTCATTTTGAGTTTAAAATTGTTCCATCCTCTGACAAAACTCTACTGCATTTTAACTGGCAGAGACCGTAGTTCCTCAGCTGATTTTATAAGCCAGGCTCCCTCCAGAGCTGCAGTGAGGCTTCTACACAGAGGTGCACTTTCTCGGAGTGGTAGTGCTGTTCTAGCCCACAGAAAAGCAGGTCCCAACACCCCCTAGCCCGACCCCTCGGCTCAGTGAGGTCTGGAAGCACCGCATGGAGCTGCCAGGGAGGAGTCCTGAGCCTGGGCAGGCACCCAGGGACAAGCTGTGCTCTGCCCTCTTGCTCGGTAGGTAAACCTTACAGAAACTATTTTATAGTTTTCCGGAAACAAAAAATCCCCTGAAACGATAGTAATTATAGTAAGAGAGGCTATAGGAGACTGCAGAGATGGTAACTGGTGGGGACAAAGTAAGAACAGGCAATCCCTGAAATAACACCACTCTACTTTCCCAGGGGGTCATAATTCACACCAGAGGCCTCAGGAGTCTCACTGAGCTACAGTAGACGAACCATTTGAAGGACATATGCTCTTATGACATGGAGTCATGTAAATGAAGGTATTTCCTCATTAGGAATCAGATATACACTTGTCCAAATAAAAATGTGACGTAAGATGAAATGAAAATTGTTACTCTCTGAGCCACAAAGCAAATATTGAAAATGTCTACAATGGTTTTCTTTCTTAAAAAGAGATTTAATCATTATCAAATTTAGATAATTTTTCAAGCTCCAAATATACTTACAAAACCACTTCATGCAACGTAAGAATGTTTGGGTGTGGATTCAGACGCCTCAGTGCTTGTATCTCTCGTAGATTGTTCACCTGCTCGATACTATTGTGTACATAAAAATAGATAACTATTTTACAATTTAGGCCAACTTTAAAATTATGAAATCATCATTTATTATGCACAATCATAATTTAAAAACTCACAAATATTTTATGCAAGCTAATCAAGTTTTACTTCTCTCACTAGAAACTAAAGTTTAAGCATATGTCATTTCTGCATTATCTCATAAAAATCAAGGTTCTTATACCTAAGGACATACATTAAAACTTTTCCCATCTAAGATCCTGAAAAAATTCTTTCTTTCACATATTAATAAACATAAAAATAGTTATTAAAATTTGATTAAATTTATTATTAATATTTATTAATCATTAAGATTAGTAATTAAAATGTATTAATCTGTTTATGGGAACTAACCAACTGAGCAATGTATATACTATTTGAAAATAAACATTTCAAAGTTCCAGGCCAACATTTCCTGAACTTTTTGGCTCCAGGATCTTTTCATCACATGCTATCTAGTTACCATTCTACAGAAGAATAGGGTTCCAGATAATACACCACCGCAGACCATCCTTTGTGTGACATGTTGGAAATAGCTTTTTTTCTTGGGGCAAGGGAGGTGAATAAAGAAAAAGAAGTAAGACTTTTCTTTGGGGATACTTATATAATTGATAACAGAGCATCTTTTAATCTCCTTCTTGTGATCTGCATTAGGAAGAGGCCAGGGAGGCTCTTAATCGGGGTCCCTGAGGCCAAGGCCTCTAAAGAACCCCCACCACTCCACCTGGTGCCTGTCAAGCCTTTGCCCATGGCATGCAGATCAGTGGTTCTCAACTGTGGAGGAGTCTGCTCCCCAGGAGACATTTGACAATGTCTGGAGACATTTTCAGTTGTCACAAGTTGGGGAGGAGGTGATATCAGCATCAGTGAGTAAAAGCCATGAATGCTGCTAAATACCCCACAACATAAAAGGCAAAAACAAAATAATCCGGGCTAAAATGTCATTAGTGCTAAGGTTGAGAAATCTTGCTTTAGGTAGAAAGAACAAGAAACTAATTGGAGCTAGCAGTCATTCCAATATTTGAACACCCTATCTGAAAAATTAGTTTTAGAACTGCATAGTCAAATAGCCATGTTATTTAGACCTATACCTACTCTTTTTATCTGTAATATGAAGCCAGTGATCACACCCCAAAATGTATTTTGCTTATTGCAGTCAGAATTTTTTCATATACCCACAGGCATTTACTGAGAAATAATGAACTGAAACAAATATTTAGAAAGGCTCATCTATCTGGGTATTGCTAGATACCAGACCTAGCAACTGTTCAAATAACAGGGCTTAATAAAATTCAAATCAACTCTCTCTCCTAAAAATCACAAAAAAAAAAATCTAAAGATACTAGAAGTAACCATTTTTCTTTGCCTTGGACTTGCTTTGAATTTTGTGTTCAGGTGACAGTTTGCAATTTTTTTTTTTTTACTGTTCTGTTGGAAACAAAAAATCATGAAACTGAACCTAAGAGGAATGTGAGCAACCTCTGCTTCAAAAGAACCAAATGATATCTACCGTAAATGTAATTTTCCACAACTGGAAAAAATTATAATTACCTGGACTCAGTCTTTAAAATTTTTTTTTCCTTTTTTGTCTTTTTTCGTGACTGGTAACAGGATCGCAACCCTCAGTGTCGCGCCCGTACCGCGACTGGCAACGGGATCACAACCCTCGGTGTCGTGCCCGCACCGCGCTCAACCAGTGAGCGGACTGGTCTCTATATGGGATCCGAACCCTCGGCGGGAGCGCCGCCGCACTCCCAAGCGCCGCACTCTACCAAGTGCACCACCGGGCCAGCCCTAAAATTTTTTTTTAAAGATTATGAAATTTCAACATTTGATTTTATTGGAAGGATTTTTATGAAAAATAAGTTTATCTAACTAATACAATCTGTCATAAGAAAGCCTTCAACTAAGGTGAAGGTGAAAAAGAAATGGTTATATTAATATTAGACAAAATAGATTACAAAATAAAGACTATTATACTACTTATGATTTCCTGATGATAAAAAGGGTAAAAACATCAGGAAGGCATGACAAATTATAAATGTGTCTGTGCTTCATAACAGAGCCTCTATGTATATAAAGTAAAAACTGACAGAACTAAAGAAAGAGTTGGAGATTTTAACACTCTTCTCACATAACTTAGATATGAACAATCTTCCAAAAAATCAGTAAAAATAGAGAATATCCTAACAATATTATTAAGCACCTTGATCTAACTGACAATTGTAAAACAGTATATTCAGCAACTTCAGATAAAATATTCTTTTTAAGTATAATGGAACATTCACCCACACAGACAATGTGCTGGATCAAAAGATAAGTCTCAATAAATTTCAAAAGACTGAATACTTTACAGAACATGTTCTCTGACCATAATGGAATTAAACAGAAATCAGTAACAGTAAGCTATCTAGAAAAGCTGTGGAATATACTATAAAGTATATGTACCTCACAGGGCCTGGTTTTCCAAAGTCTTGCAGTTTCAAATATTGACCTTGCGGAGAACTGGAAATTTTCCTCAGGCTATAAGTCTCTGGTGTAAGATAAGGATTTGTGGCACAGCAAGGTTGCTGGCTCAAGGACAGACTAGTTACTGATTGTTTTGTAAAGATATTGAGAAATTGCTGTAAGATCACTTAATTGTCTACTGGAATGTCACCTGGCTTGTTTCACTGAAAGTTACCAGACTATATTGTTAAACTATAATCCCACCTATGTTCTCTTCCTGTAACTTCCTGTTCTGGAAAATAAATGCAGGAAGAGAACCCCAATTTGGCGTTAATTTCCCGAGGAAGGGTTGCCTCTTGCTGGAGGGTCCCAGGGAAGTTAACCACTTTGGGTCTTCTCACTGTTCAGTAGAGACAGGCTTTGAGTAATCCTTTGTGTCTCCATCACCCAGGGGAAGTGGGGTGACAAATCCATGGGGGGCGAAGCAACACAAAGCAATGAAAAGCCCCAAATATTTGGAAATTAAGCAACACACTTGTAAATAATCCATGGGTAAAGAAGAAATCACAAGGAAAATTAGAAAACATTTCCAACCAAATAATAAAGAAAACAACATATCAAAATTTATGGGATACAGCTAAAATAGTGCTTAGAAGGATATTTATGGCTTTAAATGCTTATATTAGGAAGGAAGAAAAGGTTAAAATCAATTATCTAAGTGTTCACCTTAACAAACTAGAATAAGAAGCGTAAATTAAATCCAAAGTAAAGAGAAGAAAAATAATAATAAAGAAAAGAGCAGAAACCAATGAAATAGAAAACAAATAATAGAGAAAATTGACAAAGCCCAAAGTTGGCTTCTTGAAAAGATTTAAATGATAAAACCCTACCAAGATTGATGGAGAAAAAAGACATACACCACTACACCAACCAGTATCAGGAATGAAAGAGGAATCACTACAATTAGATATTTAAAAAATAATAAGGCAGTATTATGAACAACTGTATGCCGATAAATGACAATTTAGATTATATGGACAAATTCCTTGAAACACATAATTACCAAATCTGATGCAAAATAAAACTGGAAATTGAAATAGCCCTATGTCTATCAAAGAAACAATTTGTTATCAAAAACCTTCCAACAAATGATGGAAGTGTTCTAAACTGGGATTGTGGTGCTATTTACACAACTGTATAAATTTACTAAAACTCATTTACAATGGTTGGATTTTACGATATGCAAATTATACTTCAGTAAAGCTTTTTAAAAATCTTATGAAAATCCTTCCAAATTATCTGGCATAGTTCTTTAATATACCATGGTATAGATATACCTTGATGTTATCACTCATTTCACTACTTCATTTTTTTATTATAATGATAAAAACATTTTTTAAATTATAATATTATAGTAGACATCATGGGGGGGGGGGAAACGCTGCCCACAAAGAAAACTCTTAGACCAGATGATTTCACTGGTGAATTATTTCAAACATTTAAGAAAGAAATACTCTTACACAAACTTTTTCAGAAAAAAGAGGAGGAATGAACACTTCCCAACTTGTTCTGTAAGGCCTGGAAAAAAAGCCTTATTCAAAAACCTAAAAAGACTTTTACAGGAAAAGAAAATTATCCCTTATGAGCATAAATACAAAAATACTCAACAAAATATCAAATCCAGCAATATGTAGAAAGGATAATATACCATGAATAAGTGAGGAATCCCAGTTATCCCAGGAATGCAAGGTTGGTTTATTTTCAAAAATGAATCAATGCTATCCACCATAAAACAGAATAAGGAAAAATAAAAATTTTAATAATTACCAAAAAAATTCTACACCAATTCATTATAAAAATTCTAAGTAAACTAGTTATGAAAAAGTACTTTATCAATTTGATAAAAGACATCTACAGCTAACATCATACTTATAAAGATATCAAGAGGACTTGGTCTTGTTGCATGCCTCAGGCAAGTAACTGACTTCATTATTCCTAAACCAAGGCTTCGAGTAACTCAGGAGGAACACGATCCTCGGAAGCTGAAAGTATCCTTCCTAATACAGTATTAATGCATGTTTTTTCATTTTTGTTATTTTTGTTCAGTTTTGCTTTTTTAACCTTACGTGAACTTCATATTACCAAAGATTATTGCAAAAGTCATCAATTTCTATTTCAATTAAAGCAGAAGGAAAGGAGAGGAAGTAAAACCTGGAGGAGGTAGGGGTCAGAGGCTCTAAGTACCAACCTCATTCTGCCCGAGTGACTCAGTGTGATTTTCCTCTGTTAATGCTTCACGTTCCTCATACCACCACACAACTGTGCAACATGACTTTGAGGATTCATTCAGACAATGGTAAGTAAGCAGAAATGGATTTTTAAAGGTATCTAAAATTAACTTCGAAATTACTGTTCAAGTGAATAAGATTGTCTAATAATGACGATAGATACTCCAGAACTCTAAAAGCTAGAAATATGATTTTCACAGTTAAAAAACAAAAACAGAACCAAGAATTTAATTTGTAGATCAA